TTCGGCTTCAGAGCTAAACAGAATACAATTGAACAAGTGCATCGTATTGTATCATTTATTAGAAACTCATTTGAAAATAAACAATACTGCACTTCTATATTTATAGATGTAGCCCAAGTGATAAAGTATTGCACGAAGGCTTAATACATAAAAGTACAAAACTCATGCCAGCTAACACTGTAACGACCACTTTTCAGTCGTTTTGTTTGCAGAGGTAGCAAAGCGGCTGTCCAGGTTCGTTGCAATAAAATTAATATTTGTGGGGATTGTATTTCCTTCAATAAAGGAAAGCGTGGTTTTATAATATAATTCAATAACTACTTTATTTACTTCAAAACAAAAAAAATAGATATATATCAAACAATATACATTTGTACATAAATTGCTGTATAAAAATAAATTCATAATTCCAAAGAAAATGTGTTGCTAATAGTAAGCATATGCTATAATTTGCGCGGGTAGTTATGTCATCATGGTGAACTAATGTCACCTGAGTATACAATAGTGAACTATGAAATCCTTGTTGAAACGATGACGATGCTTCTGCGGTTGACGTTGAGAAGGCTCCTGACAGGACCGCGTTCTCTCCTGGGTTACTTCCCTCCTTTCAGATGCTCTGTGTCAAGGAAAATTTACACTTTGGCTGAATAAGCCAGGTTATTAGTAACAATTTAGTAATAAATGATCGAATGGACCAGTAGACTAAATGAGCCTGAGTTGTCCTAGTTTGATCGAATGGACCAGTTAGACTCAACGAGCCTGTAAGCTTAATTGATTGAATGGACCAGTAGACTGAATGAGCCTGAATTATCCTAGTTTGATCGAATGGACCAGTTAGACTGAATGAGCCTGTAAGCTAAATTTGATTGAATAGACCAGTAAACTGAATGAGCCTGAATTATCCTAGTTTTGATCGAATGCACCAGTTAGACTGAATAAGCCTGTAAGCTAAATTTGATGAATGGACCAGTAGACTGAATGAGCCTGAGCTGAACTTGTTTACCGTCTGAATTCACAGAGCCAAGTCCCAGAGCGAAGTGCGCGTTCTTATATACTCATTCGACCGAAGCTTTTCGGTGTAACGTACCGGTAAATTTGCCGTTGTGAATTATGTTTCTTGTTCGTATGCAAATTTCTGTGTTTTTTGTGTTAAATTTTGTGCTTTCGTGAATTTTTGTGTACTTTGTGTTATTCGCATACTTTTGTGTATTTTTGCGTACTTTATGTTATTCGCATGCTTTTGTTTTCGCCGCGTTTTACGTTTTGTTTATTCAGTGTCGTTAGAAAAAAACGTCTAAAAAACATACTTGTTTTTATTATGTCCATTCTATTGTCAGAAAGTACATTAAGACTGAAAAGTTTTCGGAAATTCTCATTTAAAATTCGCGCGCTGTATATTTTTCGATATTTTAAGTTTATGTAGTTTGGCAGCACTGTCCTTAATTACTATGCCAAAAATGAGCTCGATCTGTCAGACAGTTCGTTTACGGCAGCTGTTGAAACCAGTTCACCTCAGTAGTGCGTTGCGAAATGTCTTCGACGGTCGTACGACCGTCCTGGAAGGCTTTGTACCACTCATAAACTTGAGTTTTCGATAAAACTGATTCCCCATAAGCCTTTTGTAGCATTCGCAACGATTCTGCACACGAAATTTCGTTCGAAACACAAAATTTGATGCAAACTCTTTGTTCAATATTTTTTTCCATTGTTTTTTTCGCAACGCCCTACTGAGGTGAACTGGTTTCAACAGCTGCCGTAAACGAACTGTCTGACAGATCGCGCTCATTTTTGGCATAGTAATTAAGGACAGTGCTGCCAAACTACATAAACTTAAAATATCGAAAAATATACAGCGCGCGAATTTTAAATGAGAATTTCCGAAAACTTTTCGGTCTTAATGTATATTTGTGGGTGCACTATCTTTGTTTATTTTATTTATTTTAGCACCTCTTAAGTTGACTTTTTGAGAACTGAGTTTTTGTTTAACATAACATTGATATAACGTTCCATGCCTGTTTGAATTTTGTCGAGTAGGCACTCGACAATGAGAAAATACATTTTGTATTCTACAAAGTCATTGCAAAGTTAATTGCCAATTCCATTGCCAGGAAAGCAATGTCATCTGCGGATAAGGCAGTAATATATTAGCTATTAGGTGGCAAGTCGGGCGTGTAAAATAAGTAGAAAATGAAGCAGAAAACACTATCTTGTGATACACAAGCAAATATTCTTCTGACCCAAAAAAAAAATGATCTTCGAGATAAGAAAATTTATTACAGTCTTGTTTTAGTAACACAACTATTATATCCTGTGTACATTCTATATACGATAACTTGTCGAATGTTTGGGAGGCATACAAAAATATGGCTGACAATACTTTTTTCATCTGTTTCCATAGCAAGTCAATTATGATTACCACTCTGTGTATTTGGTCTATTGCGTAGTGGCTTTTGCAAAGTCCAAATTAGTGGAAAGGTATTTTATTTTCTATAATTTGTAACAAGCAAAATTTCAGTAGCTTCACATAAACTTTGGGTAGCGTTGGAAGTAAAGATATTGATCCACATGATAATACATTATTTGGCGGTTTGTAAGATTTGGTAATCATTATAATAAAAGCTATATTCCAATTTGTACACACTAATGACCAGTAAGAATTGCTGTAAGCATTGCAGTGTTCAAGCGGTTTCTTTTGATGAATTTCGAGAATTTATTTTTATTATAGTTGGGCCATGTTAACCTGGAAGTCCCACATGACCTAAGTGTTTTCTATTTATTATTGGAAAGCTTTAGAAAGTTGAGGAAGGAACTCCTAGAGACCATTTCTAGGGTAATGTAAACAAATACCGCCAATGACACATCCAGGGACGCACCAGAGCGGGCTAAACTGTCAGCTTTCTCGTTCCTTACAATGTTCCTATGTCCAGGAATATCAGCCAACCGATTTAGCTCGTCGATTGCTCCTCTACATTCCTTTACTATATTTCATTTTGTTATGAAAGATTCAAGGGCTTTAGTTGCCTGGCTATCAATGAAAATGGCAACACTACATCTGTCCTCGTTGTGACTTGCAATTTGCCGACATGCTTCTCTAATTGCTAGAATTTCAGTCTTGAAAACCGTAGCTTCATTAGGTAACCTAAGACAGTTATTTATGTTTTCGGATGGTACGAAGATTCCTGCTCCTGCCCCACAGTTCATTTTCGAGCCAACTGTATATATTGAGATATTGCAGTTTGTTTCGATATTTTCCCTTTTTCATTCATTTCTTGAACGGAATATTGTCTGAAAATTCCTTCTTAAGTTTAGGCACGGATTTGGATAATCTGATGTCATAGACAGTTTGGAATTGTACCTAGAATCGGACTATATCCATATGTTCGTTTCGACCAGACGCTTATTGCTTTCAGTCTAACAGCGCTATTGCAAACCATATTTTTGTTGTGGATATCGTTAGGTAGCACGTATAGCATCACGTTTAGGGCATAACACATGCCATCCTCTGAATTCTGTTGAGTTTATCGATAATATAGCTCTAATTTAGACCCGGACACCAAACGACAGTACAATACGTTAGAATTGGAAGTACAGTTCCGTATACATCCAGTGGGCAATATTGGGACGAATTCCCCATTTTTTGACAAACATCATTTTGCATGAGTAAAAAGCTACACAAGCCTTCTTGATTTATGATCGACATTGTGTTTCCAGTTTAGCTTACTATCCAACATAATTCCTAGATATTTGACTTTTCCGATAGTTTTAACTGTTTCTCGTTTAGTGAAGGCCACCTGAAAGCCGGTATTTTGGTTTTATTATGTTAGGGAACATACCCGACACTAGAATAACCACGTTAACCGCATACGCTACTGGTTTCACACCTATCTTATCCAGTATATTGAGAATATTATCCAAGACTAGCAGTCACAGTAGCGATGACAACCACTCCTTGTGGTGTACCTCTACTGACGTGTTTGATTTGGGTTGTACTGCCTGACTTTGACTTTCTTGTTTTTAGCATAGTAACTGTCCAATTTTTTATCTCTTCCTCTAAACCTATCCTGAAAAGCGATTCATGGATAGCTTTATTGGTTACATTGTTGAAAGCCCCCTCAGTAACTAAAAAGGTTGGCAGCGAGTATTGTTTAAGATGAATCGATTTTTCTACAGTACGAATGACGTCATGTAGAGTTGTTTCTATAGATCTACCCTTGAGATAAGCGTGTTGGGATTTTGAGATTGGAAAACGTTCCAACATTTGTATTAGGTAGAGATCTACAGCAACAGCCCCAGCAACAAAGGAAAAGTCCACTGGTAGAGCAATATCACCACTAGGTATTGTATCTCTAGTTAAAAAAAATTTAGGAAAAAGTGTCGAAATAAGCAAAACAAATTTGTGGACTTTTAGCTTTTATTGTATTAACACTTTTAGTTTTATTTTAGGCTCATTGTACATTAAACCACATTATGATATAAATATTGCCTTAGAATTGCTTCAACCATTAATTGATGAATTATTTAAAAAATATGCAGGGATCTCCTTAATAATAGGTGGTGACTTCAACGCTAGAGTGGGTGAAGAGGGTGCTCAAGAATTTTTATCTAGAACTAGATTGATTTTCATGTCTAAAAGAAGCTCTCTCGATTTAGACTTAAATACGCGTGGTAAAATTATATTAGAATTCATAGAAAATAATAACTTCATCTTGCTTAACGGTTGCACAGACGGTGACATCCCAGCAAGTCGCTACAATTCCACTAATAGAAACCCTAGAAGTATAAGCACTTGCTTCTGGCTCAGACCATTTTCCGGTAATCTTACAACTTGAATTCCCTAGAGGCCCTACCAATATAAATTGTACAAATATGACTTCTTGTAAGCAAACCAAATTAAAATGGATATAAATAAGTCTGGTATTTTTACAATGCACATGAACCGCTGTCTTGAATCATTGAACATGAATCATTACTTCTCTTCTCTATCCAACGACCAACAAAATGATCTAATTATAACCTCTATACAAAAATCCGCTAAAGCATCAGAAATGATTATTGCTAAGTCCTCTATGGCGAATTTGAAAGTTTTCGCCATTGTGTGGACGAAATGAAGAGTGAAAAATAACTTTTTAACCATTCTGGCTTTGCACGAAGTTTAAACCGGCTCTAAACCAACTTCCAAAACATTTTCCCGATAATATGGTAAGTCTCAATAATAAGACTTTGACACCAGGCTTGATGAAAATGAATGGAAATCGTCTATCGGCGGTCACAGCTGGCCACCTCATTACTTGAGATGGAAAATTACTTCGGGTGCCCATTCGTAGTATCAAATTTTCGGCAGTGCGTTCAGTTAAGTAAACACGATCATTTTGAGAGTTTGTGAACTGCTTAAGGGAAAAATCTTTTTCATCAGAGAACAGTATGTTTGGAAATTCGCCATGTTAGTGCAAGTGTAACAACTCCTTTGTTCTTTCGAGTCTATCTATTTATTGCATCGGTGTGAGATCTTGTGCCTTTTGGAATTAGTAAGGCTTTACCTTAAGCTCATTTTGGAATATACGTCAGATGCTTCTCTGTGATATTTTCAGTCTTTGGCCAATGGTCCACTTTCCGAACCATTTAAGGTGACGTTACTGTTTTTTTTTCTTTCATTTCATAGCGTTTGGCAACGTTGCCTGTTCTATTATAACGATTTATGGTACGATACACACACATTTTATTCACTTTGAGTATTTGAGCACACGAACAATAGCTGGTTGTGATATTCCAGCCATATATAACGCAATCACACTATTACATTCGAATTCGACTTCGAAAAACGTTAGTTCTATAAAACATATACGCAAACGCTGTGGTACCTTATAAACAATATAAGCAGCTGTCATTCGTATGAATTTGGCATAGTTGGCAATATCAATTTGACTGACATACCTGTGTGTAGTTGGTAACACTTCAATCGCCTAATTCTAAATACTTAATTCATTATTAAACATCACACTTGGTTGGTGACTTGGTATGACGACTTTTGGTATTATACAACATTCACTGTCATCATTCTTTTTAATACACATTAGGTGTATTCTTTTGACATACAATATTATAGGTATATTGTACCTGCAGATAATTTTATAAAAAGTTTTATTATACAAATATAAATAAAATAAATGACACAAAAAATTATTTGTGAGCAGTTTATATTGTATTTGAATTTATATAAAAGTACATAGTTTTTTTAGACTTTATCCATGATAACGGAAAAAATAGTGAAATAAGAATGATACAAAGAGAGCAAATACTTGAAATTTTTGATAGCTCCAGTTCTTCAGAAAGCAATACAAACAAGAGCGTCAATAAATTCATTTATATAATTTTCAAAATTCTAACTTAACTAGGTAATATTAAATGAACAATATTTAATACGATATTATCTTTCTTGTATTTAATTCTTTGCTTTTATTATAATGATTATGTTTTATATATAAGCATGTACTGCATTCTTTAATGAACATAAAATAGAAATTATAAATTCCTTAATAAATAATTAACAAATGACTGCTTCACAATTACTAACCTGTCAGTCATCTTCACAAATTTTATTAAAAAAATTCGTTTTTCAATATATTTCAATTTACTCATTAATTTTCCATTTTCTTCCAAAAATCATTCACAATAGATCAGTTCTCAGATTTGGCACCCTTGTAATGCGAGTGGCTTATTCGTTAAGCAGTTTCAGAAAAGTGGACAAATTTTGTTTTTGCTTTGCATGTTAATTTTTAAGTGACACATGTTCTATTGGAGCATTTATGTGAAAAGAATACACCTCTTATTATAAAGTAATCGCTGAAGTGCCAACAGCAGAAAATATTCCACTTTTTTTTTAAATTTATTTGAAATTATATATTTTTTAATTATAAATTACAATTTTTTTCAACAAAAAAAAAAAAAGATAAATAAGATGAATGAAATTGTGGACATTTACTATGCTGTCACATTAAGCTAGTATAAGGTTTTTTGACTTTAATCAGGCAACCACGAAACCAGGAAGAAGCTGTTGGATTGTGATGCTGATATAATTTAGTTTAGTATTATAGCAATATATAGCTATACCTTCTGTAAATATTAGAATTCCAAGATAGTTGTGGATTATTTATTTGGATGTATATATTTTTCGTTTGGGTATTTATATTATATGTTTGGATTGCTTAGCCGTTTAGATTTAACACTTCACGGAACTTTTTACATGAAGTTCCAAGAATTTTGACAAATTCAACTCTATTGAAAAATTTCAACTCAATTCTATTGAGAACGTTGTTGTTGCATTTGTTAGTGGTGGCCTTATGTAGTTTGTTGTTACTTTTCTTATAATAAAGCATTAATAATAATTCGCTATAGCATTTGTTTTGGTTGCAGTGGTACCATAAACTGATCATTTGACACGATTAACAATATAGCAATAAATTCTTCTCACCCGTATTTAGTATTTGTAGAAAAATTATTTTCAAATACTCATCATAAACATATTTATTTAATATTTTAAAAATTTTATAAAATGAGTTTTTAATAAATATGTTTATAATTCAGTGGTCATTCTATTTGTCAACATTTGCACTCGCTTCGCATTACAGCTTTTACAAAGTATATGATCATCCAATGGATAACAACCGCGTCCTTCAGCTTCCGATGAAAGTAGTAAGCCACAGTCCTTGAAAGTATAATTAAAAATAATAAAGTATTAGATAAATAAATTAATAAGTAACTCGTTATTTATATAATACAAAAAAATACCATTCAGTATTAAAGAGAGTTAGAAAAAATAAAGTTAGAGTTTATGGTATAAATTTATTATATTATTACATGTACCTCACATGTGCTAAAAACTTGGTAAAACTAAAGATATAAAAGAGGAAAATAATGTTAATATTAAAAAAACTAAAGCTAAGCGGACGGTATTATTAATACAATTAAATTAAATTAAAGAACGATGGGTGTTAAATTTATTTTGCATCGCTAAATGTGCAAATCAATATGTTATACTATCAGTATTAAAAAAAAACAATGTATAGAGTGCTTATTTAAGTAAGGATGTTAAAATTGGAATAACACTAACACAAATGATGTTTCATATGATTATTATTTAAGGTTTTGTTAAGCATATGGCCGATTAGGAAAAGTCCAAAAAATACGAGTAAGACTTCCAATTATCCAAAACTTTTGATCTCAAGATGCATAAATTCATATGCATGTCTCCCGCACAGGCTTTCCATTGATTTGATTGATTCCGTGTTTTAGGGTCTTATCTAGAAATTTCTTCTCACTACTGCTTGTGTCAGCAGTACTTCTCAAAAATTGTGTTTGCAGACACAACCAAAACTTTGCGTCTTTCCTATAAACGATACGTCTTGAAAAGTGAGCGTCGAGGACGTCGAGGAATTAATTATTACTTTATTTACTTTACTTTGGTAATCCTAATTTTAATTTGTATAAATTAGTTCTTCTTTCTTATGGCAACTTCTTCGGAATCCACTTGTCGGAATATGTCAGTAGAAAGGCACAGTAACCTTTTAGTAATCCATTAAAAACAGAAACTGCAGATTTGCTTAATTCCAAAAGGATTTTCTATTTATTCCCATTTTATTTAGGTCATGAGGTTTTAGCAATATTACAATTTTCGCGATTAGTGTACGAGTCATTTGCCACTATGACGGTGGTTTCTTGTATACGCCTAAACATTTTAAATATAGAGGTTTGTATCGGTGATTTGATCTCATTTCAGAACCTCTTCTGGTCAGTTCGCTTGCTATTTCATTCCCTTCACTATTCCTACATGCGGAAATCCAGCAAAGAAAGACTTTAAGATGTTTGATCATCACCAGTAAAAAAATTAATCACAATCTTTGATTTCACCTTCTTAGATTCGATTGTTCTTATAGCTGCCCAACTGTCAAGAAAGACAGTGATATTCAATGGACCAAATGTTCCAGCTTTTATATGCCTGGCTACTACTTTGATTCTGAAGTCTCAGTTTTGCGTAGTCTTAGAAGACTTTTACTGGTACAGACTTGTATAAACACACATAGCGAGAAAATACAAAATAATATATTCAGACCTTCATGAGTCGTCAAAATAGTTTACTTCCAAGACAGATTTATAAACATTCCATCTAGCTTGGCGAACTTAAGTATTTTGGTTCCCTGTGCTACGAGCTACATGTGAACAGAAGAAACATTAATTTCTTTTAAACCTGAAGGATCTTTAAAACCTCCTTTACCATCAAGAGTCAAAAATAGGGCGACAACACTCATCCCTGTTGTGTGTCTCTTTTAAATCTTTTGATTACAGAGCTCGTTTCTATAGTAGTGTTGATGACTCCGCCTTTATTCTGTTAATCCATGATATTTCGAACCCATTTTCACTAAAGCATCCTTTGGATCACTTTCGTATTCGTGTTGTTCGAAGGTTTTCCGATATCTGGCAAATCTACAAGTGAATTCTTTGTGGTCCACTGACTTTTCAGTGGTCCAGACTATTTCGCAAAGAGCGCTTTCTACAGCCATTCTGTAATGCGACGTCAATTAAGTCAGTGCAGCCCGGAAAGTATGTCATCATCAAAACAATTTGATACTCTTGACTTAAGTCTATCATGCATTTTAATACTCTTTGAAGTTTGTATTTAGAGTTTTAATGTTGTTTTTATACAATAAAACCAACTTCACTTCACTGTTCCGTTTTTGCAGGAAATCATCGCTATGACCTGTCATCCGCTCGATGAGTCTTAGTTTAGATGCCTGATCCGATCAGACGTATGGGATGCCGAGATCGAGGAACTACCTTAAGCTGAGCTCCCTGGGATAGTCCGCCCAAGCTGTTGACCGCGCGAATTATCAATTTGAACATTATAATTAATAACAATATTATATAAAATTATATAAATTTACAGACACCGCAAAAATAAAAATTGGTTTGTAAGTACTTACTTCACATTTATAACATTCAAAGTGAAAACTGCGATCCAAAGCAACAACACGTACTGTTTCTTCTTCGCCTGGCTCTGGCATAATAGGCTTCTTACAAACACAACAACGTGGTGCAAATTTTCTAAATTTAAAAATAAAATTGCTTTTTTGTAAAATAGATTAAATGAATTACGATTTGAGGCAAATTATTTGGCATCGTTGCATTTGCAAATAAGTGCTGCACACTTTTACTTTACAAAAACAAAGTACACAGATGTGTAATTAACACACTTGCATACTCCGACTATTTAAAATTTTTTTACCGTAAATATGCAAATGCATATGCTATTCAATATGACGTTACTACTTGCTTGCAGCACCATAATTTATTTACATTCTGTTTTTGCTTTTTTTTCATTAAATAGTATTGCAAACATAACCTAAAAAATTGATTACAGCATAATAACATAATTGCATAGTTCTGCAAAGATATTTGCACCAAATCGTGAATACGGCTCATATATTATATAATACCTGTGGAAATCTTCAATGCAGTAGTTTTGATTGGTAGCATCTACAGTAAACGGAACACCATCTAAGCTATTACCACACACTATACATGTAAAACATTGTGGATGGTATGGCTTCCCAGTTGCACGCAATATACGTTCTAATATTGGTTTCATACAAACTGAACACTTTTCTAATGTTTGTAAATAATCATATTCGCAATATGGCTTAAAATCCAAAACATAAAATGGTTTTCCCTGTAAATTTGCTTGACACTGAGTGCAAGTAAAGCAGGATATGTGATAAATTTGATCCATAGCTGTGCATCCTGAATTTTCACCCAAAACGCGTTCGTTGCACTTAAAGCATAATCCTAAAAAAAGACATATACATTAATTTAAATGTTTGAAATCACCAAATTTTATAACTTGTATTATAATCACTCTTATAACTATAGCAAAAAATTTATTAGGACACTACCCATGTAGTGGACCAGCAACAACAAAATACATTCTAAAACTTGTTGTTGTTGTTCAGTGATACTTTCAAATGAAATGAACTGACAAAGGAGGTTTACGTTACGTAAATGAGATCGAACTTAATCTATAAAAAGTTAGAGTTGCTTCGTTTGGGCGAAAGTAGTGGGTTGCCGAATTTGGTTTTTTCTTATGAGTCACCATTCGTAATTGAGCACAACATAAACAAGAAAGATGATTGAGTCTACTTGTAGAGAGATCAGTTGAAAATTTAAACATACTTATTGCCACCAGGAAGCAGGCGCTATCGATGGTGATAGTGTGGGCCGTCGTAACGGCCGATGGTCACTTTCCGCTCGTGGTCATCGACTATGGGATAAAAATAAATGCCCAAATCTATTGGAAAATTATTTTAGAGGAAGCACTAAACCCTGGGAAGATGTGCATTTCGGTTGCAGGTGTTGGACATTCCAACAGGACTCAGCACCATCGCACCAAGCATGCGTTAACCAAGAATAGCTGAAAAACAACGTTCCGTGCTTTATTCCATTAACACAGCATGTTCACCTGATAGGAACCCTTTAGATTTATCGGGGTGGGGTATTTCAACAAGTAAGGTTGGCTCTAAAATGTACCATTATGTCGATCGTCTGAAGCTAAACCAAAAATGAGGTGGTCATATTGCAACAAAATAAATTAACTTAAAAATTTTACTTTTTGCATATTTTTATTATCCTTCATTAAAAATGCAAAGCATAGCAAATGCAGTTAAGCAAATTTAGAAGTTGTAAAGTAGTCAATTGCCCCACAAAACTTCTTTGTTGAGGCGAGTATAAATCATTACAAGTGCTGTTAACTGTATATATAAATGATGTGGGTTCAAATATACGAAAAAGAGAGTCAGAATGTGAATAGTGAAATATAACTAATAATTCGAGTACGACTCGAGTATTGAGAACTCATTGCAGTTCTCTGATTTGCATTACTTTATAAAAAAAGGATTCATATTAAATTTGAGGTCAATTATGACGAAAGTAAGAAACTATTTTCGTAAGAAATAATTTTCTTGCTAGAAACTATTTTCTAATTAGAAAATTTTTGAATAGTATTTTATTCATAAATTTATAAATTTAATTTTTTTTTAAATCATAAAATTTTTGCTGACCTTTCTCTGTTAAATTTTAAGATAACAGTTAATATTAATTAATTTGTTGTAAAGGTTCAATAAAAAATGCACTTGCCGTGTTACATTAGACTTAAACCAGCTGTAGAACTAATTAATTATAGTTTTTTAATTGTTGGATTAAAAATTATATAATAAAAGAATAACATTTTATAATTCATTTCGTCGATATGGAAACCCAATCAATAGTGTACAATGAAATTTATATTGTCACTAAGCGATGGTATATTTCTAAAATTTATATTCAAGCACAAAAAAAAAACAAAAAACAAAAAAACAAAAAAAAAATCATAGTTCTTAGGGTTCAGACTTTTTTCTATTTTAAATTTATAAATATACAAATAATAATATAAATACATTACCATTACCATAACTATCAATGTTACTAGATGAGTCCACGTTATGTACGAGGAATCCGGTTAAGTCTTCTACTTCACTTTCCTTTTCATTTTCAAGTAAACCTTCACCAAGCTTACTAATAGTATTACAATATTGTATAGTATTTTCTTTGCTTAAATTGAAATTATTATGACTGCTGCTAGTTTCTAATAAGGTCAAACCGCCAATAGCTGTATGAGCGTCCTGTAGCTGATCATGATTAACATACGGTCCATATAACATATAATTTGAACGTGTTGAAAGCTGACTTGATGGTCGTGGATGTATTGGTTCATATATGGATTCATATGTTGAAGAAGTCTAAAGTATAAACAATAGCAGGTGTTACATAAGTAATTATAAATTTAAAATTAATATTTTAATAATTTCTTTTTTTAAACAAAGGTTTTTTATTGACATATATAAAGATAAGCTTGAAATTTAGTTTTTATTTTTATTTTTATATATTCATCTATATAAATATCGCCGACGTTTCGAAGGTCATTTGACTTCTTCCTAAGGGTAGAGTATTATTACAATTGTCCTTGGAAAACATATAAGGGTATTATTTATATTGAAATCATTTTACAAAGTTAGTTCTTGTTTATTATTTAGTTAACGATAAGCAAAAAATATACTATAGAGATTATTAATCAGGATAATATTTATTGTTATAGTAGGATGTAGCTGATGCTGATGTTGCCACTATCTTCCTTTCTATTCATGGTTCTGTCTACGTTTTTTAGTATGTGGAGGTTTTTTAAAGTTATTCTATTGTTATGGTTTTTTTCCCTATCTGTTATTGTCACATTATCTAGATCTGCTCTATGGCTATGGCTAGTCTCTGTAATAAGTTAATTAATACTAAAAATTATTTAGTATGGCCACAACGCACCCCACATATTCAACAACCAAGCCAAATGTGGTATGAGCTGTTGGATCTGGCAACACTAGCTACTCTACTAGCAGATTATTATTGCCATGGTGTTGTAGTGTCATATTAACCATGACCACACACAATACGTTGTGTGCGATATTTAATGTGTCACACCAAATCGAAACACTCAAATATCAAGCATGACCGAAAAACCTAAATTGTCATGTATGAAATAATTTATGAATCAGAAATTTGACTCGTCTATTTTGTCATTCCTTTATGACAAAATATTTGTATGCATATTTAATTGTTCTAATATGCATTTGACAATTTGGATTACGGCATGCTCAGCACATGAATTTGTATTAAGTGTTTCACAGATTATATTGCAAGCGATCGTGCATGCAATATGATTTGCCCTCAATACAGTTGGTTACCAGATGTGTGCCACTGTGAAATATAATATAACTAAAAAAAAACGTATATAAGTTATTTTTGTAAAACATTATATACGTCTAATTTGGGTTAACCAATTAGACGATAGTAATATAAGTATCAACCAATAGAATCATTACATAAGATTCTATTGGAAATTAGTTGTAAGAAACTATGTTAGGTTTAAGAAAGATATTTAAATAAAAGACAGTCTTAACATGACGAGCAAAACGGAAAGTTGTTTTATTTATTAATACAAAAATCTAACGACATTTAATAAAATATAAACTTATTTTTACAGTGTGCACTAGTTACAACGTATAAAGAAAATGCTCTTATATATATTATGTGTATAATAGTTAACAATTAATAATAGGGGTATTCAGTAGTGCTGTTCGTATTCGAATTTACGAAGTATTCGAATTTACGAAGTATTCGAATTTACGAAGTATTCGAATTTACGAAGTATTCGAATTTACGAAGTATTCGAATATTCGAATAGCAAACGAAGTCTTCGAAGTTGGAAAAACATTCGAATTTTTTGTAAATTTTTGTTCTCGAAGTCTTCGAAGTTTAAGTGCAGTGAAAAACTTCAAAGACTTCGTAAGCAAAAGGTAAAGTAAGAGCGCAAAATGCAAACAAACGTGCATCACACAAATTATTTGAGGGATGAAGGCATTTGCTTTATTTGTACGGATTTATGTTTTTTTTGGTATTCTATGCAGAAAATTAAAAACATGTTTTTTGTTTTATTTTATTACATAAAATTTATTTTATTATTAAAAATGTATTATTATATATATTATTATTAAATATTATTTATATTAAATAAAAAATTTACATTTTAAATAACTTATATTTATTTTTTATATTTAAAAAATCATATTTGTGAAAATTTTTAATATAATATAAAATATATACGTAAGAATATGAAAATATTGATATTGATGGATTTTATTAGTAATGGCGTTTTATAAAAATTTTCATTTTCCTTTAAAAAAGAAAATCACAAATTAAAACCTTGAAAATTAGTTATGAAAAAATAAGTTTTACTCATTAATGCATAATTATTTGGCCTGTATGAGCTGTGATGATCACGCAGGTAAGCGCAAATTTATTTTTGCATTATAAAATTTTGATTTTTTGTTGTTGTTGCAGTTATTTTACTGGTTATGGAAAATTTTTAAATCCTTTATTCTAGGAAAAGAAATACATAATATTATAAGGAAGTATCTAAATAACATGTAAATTAGTGCATAAGCAAAATTGTATAAAAGAAATGAATATTTGAATTAATATTTAGTTTTAAGAAATACATAAGGCGAGTTTGTACGTTTTACTCAGAGCACTTTTTTGTTTCCTTATAAATTTATAAAATAAATGTGTTCTACAATGAAAAGCTGGGTTTGGGAATATTTTTCGAAGGCAATGGACAATTTATCCGCAACTTGTAATATTTGTGAT